GCAGGTGAGCGTGATCACTCCGTGGGTGCGTCCATGTTGCTGTATCGTTCGCACTCAGTGCAAACCGAGTGTTCGTGATCGTCAGGCCGTGAGTGGCACACAGTGAGAGCAGCCTGTCACAGTTCACATTCGCTGAACCAATGCCATGCGCACCGATAACATCTGTCCACGCTGATGCATCACGCCCAACGCGCGCGTTGAAATCACCCAGCAGAAATAGTCGGTCGCTCCTCGGCACAGACCGTATCACGGATGATAGCTCAGTGTAGAACTGATCACGCGTGTCATCAGGATAACCTATGGACCGTACTTGCTTATAAAGGTGGCAAACTTACCTCTTCCGAGTCGTAGGCGAACAGTCATCAGTCGCGCGCTGATGCTTGTTTGTTCACCCACCAGCTGGCCATGCGGTCGATCGGATATTGCAAATCCGACCTCAAGTTCACGTGGAGCTGAAGCGGCGTTGCCCACCCAGTAGAATGTGTAGCCAACACCTGCTTCATGCAACTTACCTTGCTCAGCGAGCCGGGTTTCACTGAGTGCCGCAATATCGATGTGGTAGCTCGCCAGTTCCATCGCGACGAGTGCAGTGCTTCACTCCGGGCGCTCACTAGAGTTCCGGTCCAGTAGTGTGCGCACATTCCAGCACCCGATGCTGTGCTTTGCGCGCAGGCATATGATTGCATTGGTGGGCAGTCGCAAGCGAGGTGGTGGTTGTGCTTCGGAGGTTTGATTGAGGGCCTCCATCCGGAGCCTTTGGCTCAATAGCCTAAACCACAAGGCAGTGGGTGGTTTGGAGGTTTGCTTGAGGGACTCCACCCGGAGCCTTTGGTTAAAGGGCTTGTTTGCCGAACTACCTCCTCCTAATTCCAGTTTGTTGGTTCGTGTTTATCCCATTCCAACGAAGGGTTCGGCAGCCGTGTTCCTGGACATGGTGGGTATTCGTCTGGCAATCGTTCTTCTTATTTTAAGTCACATTTGCCCGTTTAACAACACTGCGACGTGGCGGATGTGACTCGGCACCTTTAAATTCACTGCCCCTTGCTTCACCTCGCTGGAACATTGCAATTCTTCAGCTTGACGCTGAATTACTGGGAGTATTGGGCCCCTGTTTGGCAGCCAGCCAAACGAAAGGCGTATGAACCGAGCAATCAGTCACCGGCTCCCAATGGGCGCGATTCCCTGAATTCGCCCCGCTGCCTTGCGGGTCAGGTCCCTATGACCAAAGGCTCCGGGTGGGGCCCCTAAGTCAACCCCCTTCTTCGGCCTGGGCAACCAGGAAGCTGTATGCCCACACAACACATGAAATGATGGATTTACGACTCTCTGCTCACGTTTCTCGCTCTCTGAACTCTCTCTCTTTGGCCGAGGTGCTGGCGGCCGGGCATGCTAAACCTCACTCTACCGCACCGCAAACCACGTTCTTCGTTCCACGTTTATTCAACCCTCCTGTTCTTGGCAACCCCCCTTCAATTTCGAGTCTCCAAAAGTGCATTGCAAATAAAAGCGGTACCTTTGGCCTCATCAATGAACCGCTCAAAACCGATCGCACACATTCCAATACCAACAGCAAGGCTTTTATTGCACCCTGCTCGCTCTTCAAGCTAGCTACGTTCAATGTTCGAATGCTCATGCAGATTGGTTCACAAGCTGCTCTTGCGCGCACCTTGGAAACCCTCTCAATCGACGTTTGCTGCCTAACCGAAACCCGTTTACAAGACTCCAGCACAACGCTGCGATTGCTCTCACCATCCCCAAGTTCCAATTGCACATTCACCTTGCGCTTATCTGGAGATGCGACAGCGGCAGCCTCTGGTTGCGCCGGCGTAGGAGTTGCGTTAAGCGCGCGTGCTGAGGCAGCGCTCATTGACTGGTTCCCGGTCAACAGCCGTCTTTGTGCAGTCCGCTTGGAAAGCTCAGTGCGATCTTCCAGCCACGGGACCAGTAGGCGCTGCTTATTCATTGTGGCGGCGTACGCTCCTACGGACTGCAAACCGAACGAAGCTAAAGACGATTTGTACCGCCAACTAACAGATCTCAGCAAGAAACGCCGCACGGACATCGTGATACTCGCCGGTGACCTAAATGCGCAGGTCGGTAGACTAGAGGTTCATGAGCGCGAATTTGGGGGTCAACACAGTCATGGTACTCGCAGGACGGACAACGACGATCGACTCCTTCAACTGTGCGCCGATCACGGCTTGTTTCTCCCCAGCACCAATTTCCGACGTTCCTGGCGTCAACGAGCCACCTGGCGACCTCCGGCGCCTGGTCAATCTTGGACGCAAATTGACCACGTCGCTGTTAGTTACCGTTGGCGAGGCTGCATAACGGACTACAAGTCAATTTGGAACACTTACCTGACTTCGGATCATGCGCTCGTGTGTGCTAAGTTCGTTCTGCGCTTTGGGGGCACACAACAGCATCGCCGGAAACAGCTTGACAAAGACTAGCTCGCCTCCCCGAATATTCTCGGCGCATTTCGGAACACATTAGCCTCCAAACTGCGTTCTCTATCCTCCGATGTTGAGACACACTGGGCACAGATCCAGTGCGCCTTACGAAAATCCTCTACCTTGGTCTGTGGCTTCACTCGACGAGCTGCTAGTCATTCGATCTCTGCACAGTCTCTCCAATTAATGGAAAGTCGTCGAACGATTCCCGCCGGAGTTGAGTACAATGCACTACGCAGAACCACAGGTGCTGTGCTCAGACAGCTCCTCAGGAAGGATCGCGAGGTTTGATGGACACAGCGTGTCGTTGAGATGGAGTGAGCGGCCTCATCAGGAAACCCGCAAACTCTTCCAACTTATTCGCTCCACTCGAGGCAGAAGACCAACAGTGAGTGAGGTTTTACGCAATAATGACGGTGAACTAATTCACAGTCGTCACCGTCATCTGGTACGATGGGCAGAGCACTTTGAAGATCAGTTCAACTGGGCACCAGCGCAACCGAGTCTATCTTCCGGGGTTCACAGTGCTCCCTGGTGCGTGGATATTCTCTGCCGACAGAGGTTTAGGTTTTCAATGAGCTTCGCCTACTGTAGCGCTACAAATCACCTGACACAGATGAGTTTCCTCCTGCCCTCCTCGCTAACTGACATCTCTATTCCATCAGATTTGGACTACTGAAACCATTCCATCCGACTGGAATTTAGCGGATGTTGTACCTGTTTACAAAAAAGGAGACCGGACCATTTGCTCCAACCATCGTGGCATCAGTCTCATTTGTGTCGCATCCAAACTGCTCGCTGCCCTACTCTTGCGGAGGCTCAGTTGCGTACGGGAACAGCACCTGCGTGAACAACAAGCTGGATTTCGCCAGGGTCGCAGTTGCGTCGATCACATCTTTACGATCCACCAGATACTTGAACATCGCCATACGTTCAGTCGACAAACTATAGTCATATCCTTGGACATTCGAGCCGCGTTTGACTCTGTTGACAGAGTGGCTCTTTGGAACTGCTTACTGAAGAGGGGAGTACCTGAGAAGTACATCAGCATTCTCCGTGCCATTTACCATCAAACTTCGGGCCGCGTGCGAGTATACGGAGACATTTCGCCCCTTTCAGTATCACTAGCGGTGTTAGACAGGGTTGCCCAGCCTCTCCATTCTTGTTCAACTTCGCCATGGACAAGATCCTGGATACTGCCCTGGATCATTCTGAGTCTTGCGGTGTTGAACTGCCCTCTGATGACCGCCTTCGGGACTTAGAGTACGCCGATGACATCGATGTGGTTTGCGAGTCCTCCCAAGCCGCCCAGCATGTGCTGCTCAGACTGGAGATGTCCGCCGCCCAATTTGAGTTGAGCTTTGCCCCTTCCAAATGTAAGGTCCTATTACAGGACTGGTCAAACGCATGTCCTTCTCTCACCCTTTCGGGGCATTCGTTGGAAGTGGTCGACAAATTCATTTATCTTGGGAGTTGTCTTAGTACTGGCGGTTTGACAGATGAAATCTCCCTGCGTGTCTCCAAGGCTAGATTCGCTTTCGCTAACCTTCGTCGCCTGTGGCTTCGTCGTGACCTCGACTTCGCTCTCAAGGGACGAGTCTATAATGCTACGGTACCAGCGATTCTGCTGTATGGCTGTGAGACTTGGCCCTTTCGGAAAAGCGATGTTCAGCGGCTATCAGTATTCGATCACCGTTGCCTGCGAAGCATTGCTGGTGTTCGATAGCAACATCACATCAGTAATGAGGAAATGCGTCGGCGAGCCTTCAGATCTAACAAACTCCGCCGACCGATTGATAGCATCATTTCACTGCGGAGGCTACGCTGGCTTGGGCATATGCATCGCATGCCTACCCAGAGGTTACCACGATGAGCCCTAGTTGCTAGTAGAGGCGTGGCCTAGAAGCGACGAAAAGGAGGGCAATGTATAACTTGGATCCAATTCGTTAAGACGCAAGCGTTGAAGCCGGCTGTTGTCGGGTGTTACCGACTCCAGGATTGGAGACCAAAGAACCCTGAGCACATCTGGTTGCAAACGCTGGAAGATATAGTCAAGAACCTTACGTAATGGCGCACTTGCTGTTAGACTCTTCTACCCTAACCGTTGTTTCCCTTTCACGCCACTTTTGTCCTCTTATGTGTTGTGTCACTTAGCCAATTAGATTATAATTGTTAAAGTGTTGAATATATATATATATATATATATATAACCCGTAATATACGATTGTTCCGTTGTTATAAGTAAGTGCATTAACCAGTACTCCATACGCACCAGTTCAAGTCGTATTTCTGATATCCATGATTGAAAATTGCAAACAGTCGCGAAACCGGCCATGTAGTGAAGCGTTCATAGCAGTTATTACCTAGTAGTCGTCTATCTTCCTGTTTACATCACTCTACCAAACGCTAACACATGCAAACAGTTGTAGACTTTACTCGAATTCGGTGAATAACCTTAGGGTGCGAAAAAGGTAAGGTGGTTATCAGGGAAGAAGGAAAGACTGTAGCCCAAAACGAGTTGGGATAAACTAAAATGCCTGACCTTCACCACACTATCGATTCGACTTACCAGCCGTTTCGAATAAGTCGCTCGATTCGACTGCACGTAGTGGACCATATCGCTTAGGTCTTCCTTTTGCGCGTTTCACTTCGGCTTACCACATCTGTACAAAATGACAGCCTGATTCAATCGCTATATGTCCTCTTAATGAGATCCTCTAGGTCATATGCTGAAAGTAATGATGCATCCTTGGATAGTGTCACGGAATTCGTGGTCAACAAGGAATGGAGATTGGTGAAAAGAATAGGAGCGGGTTCGTTTGGTGAAATATTCTTGGCGACTCACAGGAAAACAAACGAGTTGGCTGCAGTGAAACTGGAGGCGTATAAATCAGGTGTGCCGGTACAATTACAAACGGAATTCCACCTGCTTCGGTCTCTGAGTAACAACCCAGGTATCACGAAAATATATTGGTTCGGGAGAGATGGTGTGCAAAATTTGTACACGGCCTTGGTGATGGAGTATTTAGGTCCAAGCTTGGAAGATTTACACGTGTATTGTGAGTGCAAATTTTCGCTGAAAACTGTAGCTATGTTGGCAGATCAAATGATTAAAAGGATTGAAACCTTGCATCGCAACTACCTCATCCACAGGGATATCAAACCAGACAATTTTGTTATGGGAGTTGGACCCAATTTTAACACGGTGTATGTCATCGACTTTGGCCTGTCCAAATACTACATGGATCCTAAGACGAAGGAACATTGCGCCTTCAGAGATTTCCGAAATTTAACTGGGACCGCCAGATACTGTAGCATAAATGCACACGCAGGTTACGAACAGTCTCGGAGAGACGATTTAGAATCCTTGGGCTACGTATTCCTCTATTTCCTCAGAGGAAGTCTACCATGGCAAGGCCTTCAAGCAGACAGTAAACGAGAAAAATTTCGAAAGATCTACAAAACTAAATTGAGTATGCGCACCGAGACGCTTTGTCAGGGGCTACCAGAAGAATTTGCGAAGTACTTGAACTACTGTCGGAATCTTTCCTTTGAGGAAGAGCCAAAATATAAATATCTCCGTAGTTTGTTTTGGAAGGTTTTGGAGAAAAAGGCATGCAAATACGACTGTCAATTTGACTGGAATGAAGGCTTGTTAAGCGCCAGAGACAAGGAATGAATGACTAGTATTTCAGGTCACTAATATCATTCGGCTGCAAAGTAACGCCAAGGCACCTGGCCAACAGTGGAAGCAGAGTTTGTTCAGACATTTGAAGGGTGCACGCTACCCTTCAGCGACAGGTTCGACTGTCCGGCTTTCCTTATGCCTCTTTGCGTAGGCTTTTCGGTGGTTATGCCTTTGTTTTCCCACTTCCATCTCGAAAGTGAATTTCTTTACTTTCAATAATTGAACGCTACTCGCCTTCTGTTTGATTCATCCCGGTCAACTGGTAATGGCTTAATGGACATGGTTTTCTTGCGTCACAAAGACATTCGGTATCAGCAAGGGGAAATGTGAGGCAAGTGGGGATCTGGTACAAGATTCCCAACTTGGCACTTTAAATGTGTTGACAAATTTAGCTTAGATTCTGACTAATTCTAAGCTTCGAAATATGCACCGAGCTACAATGAACCTGGGCCCGTTTCCAGGTTGAAATGTACTTCGGTATTGAAGTCTGAGTCCCATAAGGGCATCAGCAATACGTCGGCACGTCACACCGACGCGCTGCTAACAAGCAACCACCAGTATTCTTTTACGGACTATGAATACTGCGAAGTAACCTGCGCCTTTACAAGATATAACCGGCGACCTGTGGATAACGATTCAGTTGCGTGAACCACTCGGTCGGTGGCCGAGTTCCATAAGTGATAGGAAGTGATGGGTATCGTGGATAATATTTGGAACTGATCGAGAAGTCATCGTTGCCAAAAGTTTGTCAAACAACCGGTTAGTGCATTTGTTATACGGTACAACGTTTCGCTTTTGACTCAAAAGCTTCATCAGGCCAGTACCAGTTTAAAACAATCATGGGTAAACTACATACAGCCGATAATCTACCAACTGATTCGTAAAACGTTACCGCAGCAGTCACAGTTCACTAGGTTTGCGTGAAATCCGTGGGTCTCAGTTAAGGTCAAATGGTCAGAGGGTAGTTACAGACATGGTCGGCAAACTGAAGTGGTCCGTTGGAAAGAACTTGGTCATTAATAGCATTTCACCTCGCCTGATGAAGTTTTCCAGTCTGAAACGAAACATTGTGCATCATAACAAATACACTAACCGGTCGTTTGCCAAACATTTTGAAACGATGACCTTGATTGGTTCTAAATATTTTCCAAGATATCCAGTACAGCTACGAACATTGTGTTCGCAAAATGGCAAGTGAATTTGTGCGCCTAGCAGGTATCGAGGCTAATTGGGAAAATCATCGGATTTTTAACATCAAGTGCCTCAAGAACAACCTAATTCCCAAATCTCTCATTGTGAAACCTCCAGATTCTTCGTACACTTCGGCAAGAATAGCGCACAGAGCAGGCGAAGCATTTCTGAGCCAAAGAGTCTACCTAACGACTTGAGGTTTGGGTAAAATCCGCCTTCAGACGAGTCAGCTGAGCTTGGATTTACAGACTGTGATGACACAAGCTGATTATGACAGCTTTTCAGTAAGGTCTTCGAAGTTAAGGCAGCAAGAGGACGGGAGTCGAGGGAAAGGCAAATACGTAAATAAGAATCTTTGGTTGCTACAAATAATAAGAACGATAGTCACACCGAAAAGCATGTATCTAGCAGGAACTATTGCCGGGTTGTTAACATGTCAGATAGTGTATTAATTGTTAGTGAGCATATAGTTATAGAAAAGAATTTGTATTTCACTATCAATAAATCTAAGTTAAGAGCAGGAGATATGATTCCCGGAGTTCAAATTGCCATGACGAGATTACCAGTTGAAAAAGCAGAGGACATTCACGCACAGTTAGCAAATATATTTAGATTTCAGCAGCCGGTAAAACCTAATTTGCGATATGGAAGCAAATGTTGGTAGCTCAGTTTGTTCAGTTGGTGGACCGAGTGTTCGCTGAGCTCGGCAGGTTGACTGCAAACGTTTCGTCACCACTCGAGGTGACATCATCAGTGCGCGTGTAATTTGCACAGTGGAGCGTACGAAGTGTCTGTGAGTGTGAGTGATCGATCTCCTAGCCGCTAGTCTGAGTTTGGATTGTTCGACAAGCACATGACCAGCGAAATCGATCTCTGATTCTCACCTCGTAGTGTACGCGCGCGTGACTCTTCGGTTGTCGTCGGTTGAAGCACGGTATTCTACCGACAATTCAGTAAACCGACACGTTGAAATAGATGCTATATATACAGCATTACGGATGAAAAATCACCGGATTAGTAGAATAAATCTAACGGAACGGAACGCCAGACTACTGCCTCAAAGGACGACAACCGAATTGTCACGCGTGCGTACATCACGAGGTGAGAATCAGAGATCGATTTCGATGGTCATGTGCTTGTCGAACATTCCAAACGCAGACTAGCGGCTAGGTGATCGATCACTCACACTCACAGACAATTCGTACGCGCCACTCTGCCAATTACACGCGCACTGACGATGTCACCTCGAGTGGTGACGAAGCGTTTGCAGTCGACCTGCCGAGCTCAGCGAACACTCAGTCCACCAACAGAACCTAATCTTGCACCAGCCGAACACTTAGCACTAAGAACCCTGTAAGAGAATCCTAATGTTTTTATTACAAGGGCGCATAATGCTGAAATAACAGTGGTAATGAAAAAAATACAGGAGTATTTGAGTACGGGACCATACAAGATCGATGAGCACAGAACAATCTCATCCGTAATGCATAGGAAGAAAACAGAGGTTGGTACCCTCCTAAGGACCGTAAAAGGCAACTTAGGAAAGGGTAGGTATTTCAGTAGTTATCCGAAATCGGCTATTCCATCCAAACCATCGCGACGACACTGGACCTTAACTTCGTGCGATAGCTTGCGTACCCATGTGATCCAGTGAGGTACGTTGGGTGACAATCCAAAGGGCTTTCACAGCCACTCATATCAGACAGGTCAATCGTCAGGAGTCAAACTAACCCAGTCTCACAATTCTCCCGCTGCCTTTCGGGCAGGCAATTTAGCCAAAGGCTCAGGGTGGGGTCCCCTAAGACAACTCCCTATTTTGGCTTGGGCAACAGGGTGGTATCACGTCTACTGACAACAACACTGACTGTACATCTGCAATATCGCTCTCATCTGCTTTTGCTCCTGCTAGTCACACACTTTCACACGCCACCTGTTCATTTGTTACCAATCACTGTTATCCATTACCCGCCGATTCCTATTTCCATGATTCTACTCCCGATGGTTTCGCCGACACCCAGAAAGCTCACCCAGTCGGGCTCCTTCGGCCTCCGTCCTCGTTCCACCTGGAATGTTTCAATGTACAGACACTCATGCAGACCGAGCAGCAAGCTGATCTTGCCCACACATTGGATCCTACGCCATCGATGGATGCTGTCTTCCGAAACGCAAGATCCCAGTACTGTAACTGAGATCTCCCACGGACGACAGAGCCAGATTTCACCTACGTCTATCTGGTGACACAGAAGTAGCCGCAGCAGGATTGGCTGGCGTTGGTGTAACGCTATGTAGCATTGCCGAGGCTGCACTGATGGACCGGTCCCCGATTAATATCCGAATGCGCGCAGTTCAGCTTCGGGGATCGTGTAAGATACAGATGCCGTGAGGAGAGACGCTACTTGTTTGTGTTCTCAGCTTATACTTCAAATGACTGCAGTTCCGACCCAGTCAAGGACGACTTCTACCGTGAACTTCATCAGCTCTTGAGCAGAGCTTGCAAATCCGACATCGTTGTCCTTGCTGGGGATCTCAACGCACGCGTCGGTCCTCTATTATCTTGTGAAAGTCACCTCGGTGGCTATCATGCGCTGGATGAGAGCCTCTCAGATAATGTAGTGAGACTTCTCACACTGTGCGAAGATAATAATCCACTTCACTCGAGCACAAGCTTCCAGCATACGAAGAAACGTTCCGCCACTTGGCAACCCCCTTCTGTGTTGCAATCATGGTATCAGATGGATCATATCGTAATCAGTTTCAGACAAAGGGGTAGTGAAAAGGATTGCAGAATTATCTGGTCTACCTTTCTTGACTCAGACCATGTTCTTGTCCGTGCGAACATCTGCATGAGATTCGGTGGGTCCCCGAAAACGAAGTAAATTATGGTAGACACAAATAAACTATCTACTGTCTTTGTTCAGCAGAGCTATCAAGCTCCCCTGGCCGGTGCACTCGGCTGCAACCCACTGCAACATATTGATGGACAATGGGTATTCATGCAGAGGACCATGATTTCTTCCGCGCAGTCAGTCTGTGGTCTTACTCAGCACCCTCTGACGGCTTGGATCGCAGCGCTTTCCTTGGATCTACTTGAGCCACCGCAGAAATATTCCAGCGGAGTCTAATCATTATGAAGTGCGCACTTCTGTCAGTCGACAGATCAAATAGAGCCTACGTAGTGACCTTGAAACCTGGTGGTCCCAGCGCGCTTCAGAAATGTAGGTCGCTGTCCAATCTGGCAATACTCGCAAGCTTTTCCAACTTATTAGATCCTCTGACTAAAGAAGGCTTGGTGGCAGTGAGACAATTTGTGAAGCGGTTGGTCCGCCGATCGCCAAATTACAGAGACGCTGTAACCGATTGGTCGAGCGTATTCATTCCCAGTTCACTTGGCTCTCACCGTCCAATAATATGCCCTACGAAACCAGCTGCCCGTCCTCGTTCGTCACACTTGATCCACCCAACGAAGCGGAAGTTTGTTTTGCGGTTCGACACTTGAAACGATTCAAGGCTGTCGGCTCAGACGGACTTCCTCCGGAGCTGTTCAAATATGGAGGTTCAGTAATCATTCGGTAGCTAACCTCATTCTTTTCCAAAATCTGGCAGGAAGTAAGGGTGCCTTCTTCCTGGGGCGAGTCAGTTATCGTCCCGATCTTTAAGAAGGGTCTCGCACTCCATGCACCAACCATCGGGGGATTATTCTCATTTCGATTGCCTCCAAGCTATTAGCATCCATTCTACTTCGTAGAATATCTCCCATTCGCGATTCGCAGTAACAGGAAGAACCACCTGGCTTCCTACCTGGACGCGAGTGTGCTAATCAGATATTTTCACTCCGTCACATCCTGGAACACCGCTACCTTTACCAGCGACCTACCATCATTGCATTCCTGGACATCCTGGACATCTACTGCCAGTTCTTTCAAAAGTTATGAAGGCTATCATTGCCGACGAACTCATGTCTTATTTGGACGGCTTTGATCACATTGCTCAGCAGCAACACGGCTTCCGCCAGAATCGTTCGTGCACAAGCAATCTATTGTTAGCACG